ATCCGGCGCGGAAGACAATCCAAATAGCGTCCGAAAAGTGTGAATGACGCCTCAATGGATTTGTACAATTTCATTCATAAAGAGTCACACTCTTCTTGGGTGTTAAAGTTTCTTAGACAGACATATAATGTGAGTGGGTGAAGAAACACTTTGCCATCGCAGGTAATCCAACAGCAGCTGCTCGGCGGTTTCTCGATTTCTGGGTGAGGCTCCGATCATCCGGAAACAAAGGCAAACTGGGTGATGTTATCAGGATTAACTGCCTTTTTCCACGCACAGCAAATATTTCACATTATTACCATAAATTCTGCACAATGCGAAGGTGCAACACAATAATTTCTTCATACAATGCAAGGGGAAACTCATGATGGCAGTGTTTGTAGAATGCAATGGTGGGAATAATGGTGACAAATTGTAAAGAAATTGTGTATCATTGCAACAGATGTGCTTTAGTGCCACAATTCCGCCGTAATCGTTTAATATTTGAAATCAATGCTCGCTCGTTTCAATATTGGTTTTCACTTAATCTGCCAATGACATCTGAATCGATGACAATTTAATCTCCCTGACAAATTATTAGATTAGCGCTGACTTAAGTGGGATTAAAACTAGTCTGAAATTCTGTGCACAATCACAAAAAATATGTACTTTAAACGTGAATATTTTCTTAAATTCAATACCCTCAATATCGGATCGAAATTTATGAGTCATTCAAAGTTTCCTGTTCATTTCCGTTCATGTTTTTGCGCAGATTGTCATAAATTGAGAGGTAAAATTGCTACCCAAAGTGATCCTGATCTTCATCAATTTGTACTCAATGTTCGATTCTTCGGTAATTGGATTATCTTGAGCAAATGCTCTTTAAAGTTATTACAGCATTTTCCTTTAAGCTCTCTTGAGCGTCCCTCTGGAAATTCCTTGTAAAGCCCGAGTTGCCGTGCATTTTCAGCTGAAAATTCCAACTAAACGAGAAGTGAGGTAAACACAAGCTACATTTGTTGGACATGGAGTGTTGTGTAAAAGTGGAGAAAAATGAAAGCACCACATTTTCATGTGGTCACGCAATTGATGCCATGAAATTCCTCCACTCTCGTTCGACCAAATGGATTTTTGCAGCAGTGGAAAGAGCAAAAACCCGTGCACAACATTTACCCTGGGTTAATTATTTAATTCTGCACCAACAAATTTGAAATAGAACAAAACCCAGGATGTTTTTCTCACTTTTGCACTGCAAAAATCCCATCAATCTTCTTGGTTGGGGGTGAATTGGTGCATGTTCGCTAATGATTGTGTTGTCTGCTTGCTTGTCTGGGCTGAGATGTCTTCTAATGGAAAATTCAATAGAGACTCTCTCTCTCTCTCTCTCTCTCTTTCCCACGCGAGTGGCTTTCAATACCATTCTCCACCCTCCGCTCCCAATCGTGAAGGAGTGAAAAATTGGAGCGAAAAGAGTGAGGAAAAGAAATTCTCTCCACTTCATGGAATTTCCTTGATGAAAATTCCTCTCAACACATTTATTGGCTAATATTTACAGAACACTATGAAATCTACGTCGAACATTTTCAGATAATATTGTACAATTTGAATGATAAATTCCAGAGATTATTTATTCCACTGAGCGCGCACACTTTTCCACGAGTGATTGAGAAGGAAGAATGGATGCCTAATTCCGATGTGATTGATGACTGGGTGCCTGTGAAATTTGTCCGTGGGCGAGAGAACGAGAGGGAATCCATGATTCTGGGCTTTTTTCCTTCCGCGCCAAATCAATGAACAATAAATCAATAGTAGCCACCAAAGCGGGTGTGACTGAGTTCGGCGATGAAATGCTACATTTAAATTTCTCTGTGACGCATTTAATTGACCACCGCACACGAGAGGGTGTGGAAAATCGCCAAACTATCCCGGTCACTTTGCCCTGTGTGAAAGTTCAGCTCCGGGGTGAGTTGGCAGAATTAATTTAACCATCAATCCTGACCCGAAGCCAGAGGGAGAGTGAGAGAGCGAGATCACCTTCCCAGTCACTTGCAGACGTCATTGACCCAGCCTGACCTTACGTCTCCCGCACATTTGGTAGATTTTCGGTGGTGAACCTTCAGTCTTTCACACGTAACGTGTGGGTTTAACAATTCACAATTAATTTTCGTGCAGAGCGCAAAAGCTCTCCACAAAATTCGAGTGATTGACAAACATTCAAATGATACACAGAGTATAATGTATATTGTTTCACGTCAAAAGCAACATCAGAAAATGCTTTTGTGATAGAGAGAGTTTAAGGACCTTTTGGAGTCCATCAAGTCTGACACAGAAACGCTTGCAAGTGAGCTTTGTTGTTTTCCTGAAAATTGTAATTCTACACTCACTTTTCTTCTCACAAAGCTCTTAACTCTTACACATTAGGAAGATCTTCTTTTCATCACCACTCGGCACAGATTGTGGAACTCATTTGTAGCTAATGCTACAACGGGATGTCAGTGGAATTTTTAATTATGCTGAGTGTGGAGGATTACTTGAAGTGGTCTTCGTGTTAAACTGATTTTAAATGATAGCAGTAATAATAGTAATCAGATAATAACAATTCTCGGGGTTCGTTCTTTTCTTCCACAATGAAATGAGAACTGGTTTCAATCCTCCGGCTATGTTGGAGGTTCAGTGAAGCGTTTTGCAAAAGGTCTCATTATCGATCAAAGAGTGTATACTTATGCTGTTTGTTGTCAGAGAATTCCAATATTGTGAAATTCATCGTTATTAGGGTTATTAGTGTTCAAGGAGGAAAAGAATATGGCATTTGCATAAAGAATAATGAATAGAAAGCACTAAAAATTCAACATTCTTTCGACGATTTCCTCAATTATTCCATCTGAGAATGACTAATTTTCTTGCGTTGAGCGTCTTCGGGGTAATTTTGTGTTAAATTACTTCATCTAAATGCATAAGATGTCTTAATCTGTTCTCCCAAACACTCTTTTCAACTTAGCACACACTCTCAGCCTATCAATTACCATAGATTTTCACCATAATCAAACCACTGAGTGACATTTCTCAAGTCTAATTTTAACATTGAGCTTTTCACAAATTTAATAATTCACTTCGTGAGGATATTTTGGTTTCAGCTTTCCATTAAAGGATAATGTTATTCAAAAATATACGCAAACCTTCGCGATATTTATCCACCGAAAATGGAAGTGAAGCTTTTCCAGTTGTTTTATAAATAGAAATTCCCACGATACCATGTCAATTTGAAGTCTCTTGCTGAAAACATATAGTGAAAAGAGTGATTTATTCCAAATTAAATTTGTGCTCTTTTTTTTGTTTGTCTTTTTTTGTCAGCCAAATTGCAAGCATTTCGCTGAATATAATTGAGGTTAAACCTGTTGGATTTTCCCCCAATGAAAACTATTTAGAATTCCCGAGACGCAGAATTTCCTCGCAATTGTTATATATTTGGTGGAAAAGCTGCCGGGAAAAAGCACAAGTTTGAAATTCATACCTGGAAGTTGTACATAAAAATTAATTTTCAGCTTATGCCTCTCACACTCTCACATTTTTCTCTCTCTCTCTCACACACAGGCCGAGGCGCTAAGCGAATTTTCAACTTTCCCGAAAAAAGGCAGCGGCGAGGAAGAGGAGCGTCCTTTCACCCACTCCAAGGCGGTGTCCTCGAGCTGAATTGGTGGGTGGCATGAGGTGGAGAATGTGGTGCGCCGTTGGAGGGTTTTTTGCAATTTTATTAAAATTGCTGTAAAAGACGAGGAAGCTGCCAACAAAGGCGCGAATACACAAGAGCCACCAGGAGAACCTTACTTTCTCACTTATTAACTTTCCAACATAGCGTGGAATTTCCATCTCAACCCATTCTGGGCAACTATTTTCCGTGACGTAATTAAGTAGACAAAGTGGAGGCATATGCAAGAGACTACCATCCGTGAGACACCGAATAATTCATATAGTCAGCAACTTTCGTAAGTAAGAACTGAGTTGATGGTATCTTAGTTTTGCTGTTAGTCTGCAAACATCGCTCAGCAGTGAGATTGGTCGATTGGAAAGTCGTTTTTCATATGGAGTTTATGAAAAATCTATAATATTTTGCAAAGCATATCACAACTTCTGGTCATTTCATTTTCACCGCGATGTATGATAAATTACCAAGCTATTATCGCACTTGGAATAGTGATAAACGCCATAAAGACACTACCAGTGAGGAAAAATACTTGAAATTCATGAGATATCGCGGTTACGAAAAGATTTGCTCTCTCAGTGTGGGATTTTGTAAAACCGCACTTATTCAAAATGTTGCGACTTTTTGCTTTTTCAGTACAAATAAACACTTTTCTGGACACGTAAAACTTTTTGACCACTTTGAATTTAATGCTTTGCATTTGCACAACGCGCTGACTTTACTGAATTTCGAATAAACGAACATCGTTTTGAACGATGAAACGGTTAATCAGCTGACATCACGCCCCGGAATACATTACGAGCTCTCCTCAACTGTTGCAATCTCTTCTAGATAAGCACTCCAGTGACTTCCTTTCAACTCTGCCGGCAATTTGTCAGAAGGGACGTAAAACTGCTTGCCTGGTGAGGAGACGCCTTTTGTGCTCTCCTTCAATATATCGTGGCGAAAGTGGGTGAACTCCATCACGAGATTATTGGCCTCATTTCGTCAGCACGATGAAAATGCACTGGAATTAGTGTTGCGCTCAAGGAGAGAGGTTCTTGTGCTCTCGCGAGGCCACAAAAGCCACCCAACCCCTAAGGTGGTGGTTGTAAAAGTTAAGGAGAGAACATTGTGAGGTGCGGAAGTGACAATTTCGCAATGATGACACGCAAAATTGCAACATTTCTAGTCTTAGTCATTGTGGCGTTCATGCCAATTGGCGAAATATGCGCCGAGTCGCGGGACATTCTTCACGGGCGCACGAGACATCGTGGCGTCCTTGCGACGTCGCCGGGCAGTCGTGTGAAGAAGAGCGGCAATTCCGGCAGCACTTCATCGTATCCGGACTCGCCGCTCAGTGCATTCCTGCCGCCGATATCGCGGGAGCGCAAGCCCAACATAATTCTCATCCTCACGGACGATCAGGATGTCGAATTGGGTGAGTTGCCGAGAAGTCAGCGTCAATCTGGCCATAAATCCTGTACTGCGCCACTCATTTTGCAGGCTCGCTCAATTTCATGCCAAGAACGCTGAGACTCCTACGTGATGGAGGCGCCGAGTTCCGGCACGCATACACCACGACGCCCATGTGCTGCCCGGCCAGGTCCTCCCTCCTCACCGGCATGTACGTCCACAATCACATGGTGTTCACCAACAACGACAACTGCTCCAGCACCATGTGGCAGTCCACCCACGAGACCAAGTCCTTCGCCACGTACCTCTCCAACGCCGGATACAGGACGGGTAAGAGCTGAGGGTCAAATTGCAGAAAAGGTTCCTCTATATATGGCTTTCAGCCATTTCAGCTTGATTTCATCGTTCGCGAAATCTTGGCAACATTCATTTCCTAATGCGCAGCATGAGCACATATTTTGTGCTTGAACGTGACACTTGAAGGGAAATTAGACAGTCAATATCTCTTCCTTGAAAAGGGGGATTATTTTCCGCCTTGTGATGTATAAAATTTTAACGTGGGAGAGGAAAATTCAGGTGCAAAAAAGAATCAATCCTTCAGGAAAAAGTTTTTCCATCGAGAGCTTTTTGGTTCACCGAGAGCTTTAAAGTTTTTCCCATCCAATCCATTAATCTCAGTTTGCAAAGCATCCTTCGAAAGTTTTATTTTCTTTGGCGTCTTCATGATAAAGCTTTGGGAAAAAAAACTTAATTGCGCTGTTTTACAAAATGCTTTTCGCTCTCCTTGATGAGCAATCTTCAATTAATATATTGGATGGAAATTGAGTGTTTTAAACTTCATGGGGAGGATTTAATTTTCTTTCACTCTTCCATTATCATTAATCACGATGCAACAGTTAGTTAATTGGTTCGTAAAGGGGGTTTTGTACATGATTAAATGGTTTCACTTTCTGTGGGTGAAAAATTAAAGTTTGTGTGGAAAAATAGATTATTATGACGGTGTTTGTTGAGAAATTGCGAAAACATTGGACGCATAAAAAGGGATTTGTGGCGGAAAGAATGAGTGAATCGATAACCATTTGAGAAAATTTACACAGTTTTTCATCCTCTCTGAGTTGTTTTTCCCCGGCTTTAGGGCTCCACCTCTCTCCGCTGTCAGATCAACAAGTCTTACCACGGAGTGATTCATGAGAGGTTGGATGGAGTGGTTGAGGAAATTCATTACAATACCCGAGCATTGTCTGTCATTTTTCATTTCTGCCTCCCTCACAGGATATTTCGGTAAATATTTGAATAAGTACAACGGCTCGTACATACCACCTGGCTGGCGCGAGTGGGGCGGTCTCATCATGAATTCCAAATACTACAATTACAGCATCAACATGAACGGCCAAAAGATCAAGCACGGATTCGATTATGCTAAGGTAAATATATCGCCTTTCCGCTGGAGTGCCATTAATTTTTCACCACTGTTGCACGTGCAAGAAACCAAACTCTTCCTTTTCTCTCTCACCCTCCGGTCGCTAAAAGGATTACTACCCGGACCTGATAGCGAACGACTCAATAGCCTTCCTCAGACAGTCGAAGCAGCAGAATCAGAGGAAGCCAGTGCTGCTCACAATGAGCTTCCCAGCTCCTCATGGTCCAGAGGACTCTGCGCCACAATACAGCCATCTATTCTTCAACGTCACCACGCATCAGTGAGTACAATTCACATGGTTGGGAAGCCAATTCTTGGATTTCCTTTAAACACTTTCCTGCTCCTTTTGGCTCCTCAATTTATTGCATAGCCTGAAAATTGTAGCACAAAAGTTCTTCTCTTGACCACAGAATTTCCAAAATTCAGTCTCGAATGTCAATTGGAGCTCTTCTCATCGGAGAGCTTTGTCTGTCTTGCCAAGTGATTTCCATTTACCACCTTTAACCCAAGCCCTTTAACATGAAACATTCCTTAAAATTCTTTGGGGGGAATTTCCATAAAATCGTGTTTTTGTCTGAGCTTCTGGTGCTTTATTCAAATTGTGTGCTGAGGAGTCTGGAAAATGGTTACAGGAAAATGTTCCCCATGTGAGTCTGGAACGGAGAGGTGAAAAGGTCTTTGGGAGACATTGTCAGATGGAAATTGGGAAATTCACATGAAATTCTGGGCCATGATTCATGTGTGAAGACGGAAATGTAAGTGCTGAATAGTTGAGAAACCATTAAAAAATATGACATTTCTCCGAATGCCTTCCTTCTCAACTCATGTTGGGGCGTTTCTGTGGGAGCACCACATGTTTCGTCACATTGCCTCAGGTGCTCTCTCAACCCCCATTCCGAAAGAGTCTTTGGTGGTGAATTTATAGGAGAAGTTTGTGGCACGAAAATGTGCAGGAATGACGATTAATTCGCTCCAAATGGGACAATTAGAGTCACTCTGTCGTTCACTTAATACCATTAGCAAGTGTGCAGGAGTTTTCCTCGCATTTAAGGAGCAGAGTCTTTCGTCTCTCACTTTTTGCCGACAGCATCACACCCAGACCGACGTTCTTGTCATTCACACCATCACAAGGGTGAAAGAGTTCAATAAATACCGCAAAGTGGAAAATTCTCTGTGAAACTTTCCAAAGTCTGGTTTGAGGTATTTTATAAGCGCTTTTTTGGTCAATTTTCTCCATTTTCTCACCAAAAAGTTGAGTGACTTTCCCAAGTCTGGGAGGGGAAGTGAATTGTTCGTCGACAATTGTCAGAAAATAAATTGAAAAGGACTTTTAAAACTGGCAAAACAATCAATATAATATAGATTGATTGTATTGCGGCTAAATATGGAAAGAAGAGAATTTCTTTTCGTTAACAATGAGACGCAAATTTCAGAAATGAATCACTTTTCCCATGACAACCTGAAAAATTTTCCTGTGATGTTGAGTATAAAATCCATTTGTAGTAAATGTCTTTGAAGAGTGTGCTTCAAAGGAGGAAGAAATTGTGGTTCTGCAGAGGAAATCCCAAAGTAATACTTCCTTGATGATCATCATTACAATAGAGATTATGCCGATGATGAAAAGCGTGTGGTTAAAAAAAAAAGCCGCATCTGACGAGTTTCATTGTCAGTTTTGAGCATCTTCCCTCCCAGTCTTCACTTGATGCGCCAATTAAGGAGTATTTCCGTGTAATAAATTGTTGATTTGCGTCTGGCTGAGTGTGTGTGTTTGTGTTTTATATGGGAAAATCGACTCTCAGTCTCGCTCTTGCATGACTTTTTTTCTTCACCCTCCACAGCCCAGAACCATGTTAATTCAATCAGTGAAGAAGTTGACAATCGTCGCAATGAGGTTGATTCATCTCTTTTCCTGAATTGCTCTCGCTGACTCTCTGGCATCATCACCCAGTCTAAGAATGGCAGAGTGATTGCCAGTGGTTTTTTCTTCTCCCTTCGCATCCACCGCACATTTTCCAGTTCTGTCCCATGACCGTGTATGGAAAGTCCATCAATATGTATGTAATTCACGTTCATCAATGGTTTTTATGTTGCCGTTTTATACGCCACAGTGATTCATTTCATTGAATTTGTGGTGGGAAAAAGGCGAGGAAGACATGCGTCTGCCGGTCTCACTGGGATTCTATGGCGTTTTGTGCTGGACACAAAAGAACAAGCCAACCACTCTTGTTTAATTTATTTAACCAAGTTGATGAGTGGAAGTTTAATCTTCGCCGCTAGATTTTCTCATTGGATCTTCTTTGCGTTGGAAATTCACTTTACCCACTAATCTATATATTGATATATCCATAAAATCCACTATCTATAGCACATTCAATTCTGTGCTACACTATGAAATCACCTAACAGTTTCCCACCGTTCCACATAAAATGTAGTGTTAAGATTTTACGCCACAACAAAGTGTTCTTGTTCTTCCATTTATACGTCCCAATTTCACCCTCAAACTCACACCCCAGGAACAGTCGTGAGACGTGACTTGAGACAGAAGGGTCTTCCACCTCGAGGCTCTGTGCTAATGACCACTGATAAAAAATTAAGGACTCCCCACGCGAACTCCCGTATCCAGAGGCGCAATTCCCAAATTGCCACGTGGAGAGAGTCTTGGTGCAAAACTCCCTGTCTGCCTCCCAATTGACCCATTCCGCTGCCAATGGGGTGTTCAAATGGGAAATGTCTGTGACTGGAACCCTTGTCGACCCCAAAATTACTATTTTCGGTAGATGGAATTCTCGTTAAATATCTCACCATTTGCCTCCCAAGGCGTCTTCGGGCAAGATGAAGTGGTCTCAAGGTGGATTTTTATTGGAATCAATTGTGGGATTGTGTGAGCTTTGTCGAAGCAATAATAGAGTAAAAGGGCATTTATGGGATGGTGAATAAAAAAAGAAACACATAGTGAGAAAATCCCGCAAGTCAGACACAATTGAAACTTCCATTCTCCTTCCATTTCCTTTGCATTTCACAACACTCGTCCCTGTTTCTCCCGCCCTTGTCCGCTTCTGAATGTGGCGCACAATGAGGAGGAACATGCTCCAAATGCACAACTTCGCATCTTCCGGCCTGGCGAGGCGAAAGCTTTCACTCCACATGTTGGGGTAATTACAGTGTCACATTTCCAAGGGTATTTATGGCACATGGAGGAAATGTGTCTGAGTCCCCAGTGCTCCTTTGTAACAGCATTGCCCTCAGACTCTCCCTGATTAGTTGAGTTGGCGGAATTTTTACTAGGACTGCGCGCTCTCCTTGGATGACTCCATTCCTCAAGAGTCATCCCTCGGGAGACTCCCTTGGCGATGCGCTGCATTCATTTGCATATACCGCTGTTGCTCTTCATTGTGTGTTTGTGTCATTTGGAGGGAATTGGAAAGAATTTGTAGTGAAATTTCATTAAAAGCCAAGAATAAAAGTTTTATTCTATCCCTTGGGAAAACCTGTAAGTTTTTCTGTGTGAATTTTCTTCCTTTTTGCGACACGCAAGTTGAATTTGTCATCAAATTTTGTCGGGGTGAAAAAGTCGGGAGTCACGCGAATTCTATAAGAATTCCCGGAATGTCTGGCAAATGGGGGAAATTCCTGAGGGAAAATTGAGTCGATTTGTCCTCATTATTGAACCATCAGTCACACACATTTGAGGAAAAGGCGCGACGCTGAAAGATATGCCAACGCACATTTGAGAAGTCATCTCACAAGAGGAAATGCAATAAATTGAGATAATCGTATCGGATTCATCGAGCTACTGCTCGACAGAATTCGATTTACATAATGATTGAGCATCTCCCCATTGACTGCGTCGCACAGTATGTTAATTGTGAATGAAACTCTAACGAAGTCACAACGATAATGGAGTTTAAAAGGCAAAATTCACTCGATTGAACACCTACGAGACACTCTCGAGGAATTCATTCACATCCCCAACTCGACAGAAGAGAGCTGTTGTGCATCTCCAGCCAAGACATTTGTCACTTGTAAATTCAGGGGTTGCAGAAAGTCACTTATCATTTATCGAATGCTTCCCTGAATGATAAAACAGATGAGTTTTTGAACAATTCCATGGATAAATAAAGTGGAGAGAGAAGCATTCATTTCAATTTGGGGATGACATCTATGCATTTGTGAAGGAGGAAGCTAGTCGAAAGGACGATGAATCAACATTTTGCACAGCACAAATTGCAGATTAAGATACCATACAATTGACTCTTGTGCCAATCTATCGTATATTCAAGTCAAGAGAGTGGAGAGTCAATCATGTGGAAAATTGCATATTGGCAATTGTAGGAACATCGGATCAAACTCTGATACTCATGAAAACGCCATCAGTTTCATTAGGTAGTCAGTGGAGGGAAAATTCATCACATTTGCAAAAAGAGCTGAAAGAGGTCAAAGACTGATGAAATTCCATTGTATCTTATTTATTCAATATCGATTCACATTAAACCATCGTTATTGCCATAAGAATGTAATCAGAAGTTCAATTGCTTCACACAGTATTCACACACACATTACACTATAATTAGATAAAAATAAATAACGACGGATTCATTGTACGGAGTGAGAAAATTCTAATTCAGTCGCTTTCTCAGCTCTAAGCTAGACTTCGACTAGAGTGGCAACCTTGATAATATATGCTTCGCAGGAATTTCTCTTCTCAAGACATTGTTTTTTCATCACGTTCCTGTGGTGTTTACAATTTGTCATGATATGCAAAACAAAAATAAAAAATCAACTTTAAGTACTGAAAATTATGGCAAGATAAAAAACTTATCGTGCTGCTTTTGGGGCCATGCAATGGTGTGGGAAATTATCGCGTTTGAGAAGTGAACATCTGGAAGTGCTTCTTGAGATTCAATTGAGATGTAAAACAGGGCAATTAGCCGCGCAATGGTTTCAGCATTTCATGTTAATGCCGATATGTTGCCGTGCGATGTCTCACGCGAGTTGCACGCGACTCTTTCTCAGCACTTCCACTTGAATCTTATGTCGCCATCTCTCGACGGTGAAATCAATGTGGTGGTTTGAAAGAGTTGTTCTCTAACGGATGTATTTCTTTCAACATTGCAGCACTCCAGCTTATGACCATGCACCCAATCCGGACAAACAGTGGATTCTGCGAGTGACTCAGCAAATGGAGCCTGTTCATCGACGCTTCACGGATCTCCTGATGACCAAGCGTCTGCAGACGCTCCAGAGTGTCGATGTGGCGGTTGAGAGAGTGTACAATGAACTGAAGAACTTGGGAGAGTTGGACAATACCTACATTATCTACACTTCTGACCACGGATACCATTTGGGGCAGTTTGGATTGATTAAGGGCAAAAGCTTCCCGTTTGAATTTGACGTGAGAGTTCCCTTCCTAATGCGAGGACCAGGGATTGAGCCGGCCACTGTGTAAGCATAGCTACGCAATTACTTGATTGAATCACTGAGAAATATTCCCAATTTCTAGGGTCGATGAGATTGTTCTCAACATTGATTTGGCACCAACATTCCTCGATATTGGAGGTGTTTCAACGCCACCTCACATGGATGGAAAGAGCTTCCTGCCACTCTTGCTGCACCGGCACAGGAAGGAGATCAAAGAAAAGTGGCCAGACACATTCCTCATTGAAAGCTCCGGACGCAGAGAGACTCCTGAACAACTTGCCGAAGCGAAAGCAGCAAGAATTGCTGCTGCGGCTGCGATGAAGAACAGAGGAAGGGAGATTTCGCTTAAGCCCGGAACCTGGACTACAGATTCTGTGTTGAAGGGGCAGAAGGAAATCATCACGGATCATCACAGAGATTTCCTGGATTTCGGATCTCATGAGTTTGATGATGAGGAGGAGGAAGATGGTAAGCAAGTAAAAGACTACTTTGTAAGGGTTTTACCATCTCAAATCTTTCTAGACATTGAAGATAAGCTGGAAGATGAAGAAATCCTGGCTAGGTTTATTGACAACGACGAGACTCGTAAGAATTTCCGAAAGAATGATTTCAGATCTTTTCTTGATTGAATTTCCTCTTTCACAGCACAACATGATCAATTGGATAACAATTTGCCCGTTGCGCCGTTCATATCGAAAATAGCTCGATTGAATTCTGAATGCTCAGATCCAAATCTGCACAAAGACTGCGTTCCTGGACAAAAGTGGAGGTGCGTCAATGAGGATGGCAGATGGAGGAAACACAAGTGCAAATTCCATGTAAGACGATTAAAAGCTCTTAAGGGCCAAACATTACGAGTCTGATCTGATTGTCTCCTTCAGATGCAGTGGCAGAATCACTTGGCGGAAATGAATCGCATCGCAGCGAGTCAGAACAAGAGGAACTGTGCTTGTTTCGTTCCCAATGGTGTCGTCTATACGAAATTGAAGGCCAATCATCCGACTAGCAAGGAATTCCATCAGACCAGAAAGAGGTTTGCCATCGAAATCCATATTTTCAAGCCTCAATTGTAATGAATATTGTTGGTATTTGCAGGAGTCCTCATTTCCAGCGACACAAGAGATCCATTGATGAGCAATATGTGGAGAAAGTTCCTGATGTCATGAAGAAATTGATTAGGATGTCGCGAAGTGTGTCAGAAATACAAGAATCTCTTAGCAAAGCTCCGGAAAGTCACCGGAGAATTAAGCGTGATGAGTCTATAGATCACATCAGTTCTGTGATTGAGGACATCCAGAAGAATCTCGACAAGCTTGAGGCGAGTCTCTTGGAAGAGAATGAAAGCATACGAGCAATGAACCAAACTGCCCAGAGTGCGAAGAAAGTGGCTGCAAAGTGCTTCATAGAGAATAATGGGAAGGTGAATTGCTCGGATATCATTTATGAGGATGAGAAGAGCTGGAGGAAGAGTCGAGTGCAGATTGATCTGCTGATTAAGGTGCTGAAGAAGCAGATTAACGATCTGAGGGACATTAAGAAGCATCTGAAGGAGCACAGACCATTCAGCGTGAAGGATTATGAGGAGTTTGATCCGATTTCCGGTGAGGATGATTTAAAGTCCTATGATTACTCCAAATTTAACTCCGGGGAGAAATTCTCAAAGCATCGCCACAATAAATCACACCATGTGCATCACAGTTTGGGTCATGAATTCCGCCGAAGGCCTCACTTCCGCAAGGAGAAGGTGTCCAAAGAGGTTGAGGAGGACGAGGAGCAGGGTCCTCTGATAGATATGGCTTGGTACACGACGGAGCGCAATGAAATCCCTCCGGAGAGCAGTGTGGATTCCTCCAGTTCGACAGTTCCTCACCTGGAGTCCACAACAAGACATCACAGACATCGTGGTCATCACAGCAGAGGACGAAATTCCACCAGGAAGCACAAAACGGAGGCGTCTTCAGCTGAGGCTACCTCTACTGTTGGAGGACGCAGGAGAACTACACCAAAGATTGCATCAACTACTCAGAGACCTGAAAGCACCACCCAGAGCACTTCGCAGGATTTCCATGTGGATTACGAGGAAGAGATGAGTCACATTCCCATCTTCTATGTGGGCAGTGATTCCAGTACAACAGAGAAAACTGACACGACTCCAGAGGAGAGTTCCTCCAGCACCACGACAATCTCAGACTCGACATCGACTTTCAGAGAAGAGTCCATCGTTCCCAGTTCAACAACGACAAAGCCTGAGGGAAAGATTCATCGACATCACCATAATCATCACAGCAATCGCTCTCACGCTCAAGAGTCCTCGACTTGGGGCAAAAGAGTGGAGGCTGGAAGTGCGGCTGAATGCTACTGCGATGACAATGTTGAGGAAAAGTGAGCCTAAAATAGTGTTAGAATAAGTAATAAACATTTCATCATCTTGTCATACTTTTCCAGCGCTCCGGATGAGAAGGAAATCGCCCGAGAGACAAGGAGGAAGCTCAAGGAGGAGCGTCAGAGGAAGAAGGAGCGAAAGCGCAACAAGAAGGCTCGGCTGGAGAAGGAGTGTCTCTCCGAGAAGATGAATTGCTTCAGTCATGATAACGATCATTGGCGAACGGCGCCTTTCTGGAATGATCAGCCCTTCTGCTTCTGCATGAATGCCAACAACAACACCTACTCCTGCTTGAGGACAGTCAATCCAACGAAGAACATTCTCTACTGCGAATTCACCACCGGAGAGATCACTTACTACAACCTCAGAATTGGTTAGAGATGAGCAAAAAGAAGGAGAATTAGAATGAGAATTTCAATTGCATTCTTCCAGATCCATTCGAGACGCAGAATCGAGCGTCGAGTCTCAGTGCGGAGGAGAAAGTTCAGCTGCACGATACTCTAGAGCGTCTCAAGGGATGTCGTGGAAAAAGTTGCACTCTCCCAAGGCAACACTCGCCAGCGCTGAGTGATTCCGGTTTTCAATCGACGTCTCGGTCAACAAAAAGGAGAGTTTCCCACTCAGGCAAGTTTTGAAGTGTGCATCAATAAAATTCCGCAAGTATCAACTTGAGTGCGTGTACTTCTTCACAGGTTTGCCCTCGTTACCGGACTATGAAGAAGTTGGCCAGAGAAGACGAACCAAAGGACACAACAACAAGTAATTCCTTGAAACTGCTCTCAATTTCCCGTAAGAACACATTTCTAATTTCCTCTGTTTTTTCGTTCAAGAAGAAATGTGAAACGAAGAACCTGGATTCACCCGGATTCTCCACACGCAAGAAGTCGCTCAAGGCGTCGCCCGTGGAGCTTTGACGATCTCTACAATTGAGCATCGAGGACATAACATTCATAGCATCACACGAATAAATTCAGATAAAAGAAAAAAATACACACACATACACGCAAAATATTGCATAATAGATCGTATACTAAAAACATAGAGAAATCTATTGAGAGATAAATTTCCCTTTTATCCGTGATTTTTTAGCATTATTTATTATGAATCTTTAGTTAGGCAATTTACTTTTCAATTTTTTGATATGACTTTGATTAATTGCGACTTTGCTGTGGTACTTTTGACAGTTCCAGAAACGCTTAATCGAAATTGTACGAAGAAAAAGAAATACTTTTTAGGCTTCTGTGAAATATTGATGAACGTTTTGAAAATAAGAGAAAAAAAAACATATTGTAGTCAAATTCTCGAGATTAGCGTGTAAGATTTATCAAGAGTAAAAATATTAAAGGCTAAAAGTAAATATAAAGTATTTAAAGAAAATTTATTTAAATATACTTCAATAATAGCGCCTAATTGTAATTCGTTTGTTGACTCTTTCTTTTGTATCATTTTACTCAGTTTTCTTGTATTGAAAAGGCAATCGAAGGATGAATTTGTAAACACTTAAGCGGAATATACTCACTATTAATGTCATAATAAAGTAAGATATAGAGAACAAAAGTATCTGTAATATTGCACATCCAGAATAGTGATTGAGGAGGACATAAAAACGATAAAGAATAATGGAACGATTTTTTTCTCTCTCTCACTATCCACTTCCTCTCGTTCAATTTCCTGCCCATTTTCACGTGAGCTGCTCTCTTTCGGCGACAATTATTTCCGCGACAATCGAGACGAAAGTGATAATTTTCATATCAGCTTGTCCGTGTGTGTCGCGCACTCTTTTTTCTAGGTTGCGGTCAAATAATCTCACCTAGAGCCACTTTGTCTCACTCCCAAGAAAATTGTATTTGTAGGTTTGTGGCACGAAAACCACCACACTCAAGATTGATGCCACGTTATCACTGCACTTTGCGCCAAGAACATCGGGAAAGTGAGTTGGGAAAGCAAATTAGAGGCGATTATCACGCCTATGTATTGTGATTTTTCTTTCTGTAGCGTCACAAAAACTCGCCATTGCAGTGCGATATGCTGCAGTCTATTGACTTTTCTTAAATATATTTTTTACAATTGAAAAGCAAAACACGTCTTCTATAAATGGCTCATAGAATACACAGCCAAGTTCAACAGTTTTTTTTCTTTCCTTTATTCTCCTTACATTATGTGCATATATGTAGAATATGTGTGAGAAAGAGCAATTTACTATTTATCACTGATTGTAGTTGCTGCTCAAAATAGCCACGCATAGCAACTATGTACATATATATCCAATATCTTTCTAAAATGTCTTCAGTTGAGAACACAAATTGAATTTTGACCACAAAATCAGATTACAACATTTCATTTGTACTGTAAAATCTCACTCTTATCGCACACTGCATGAGGTTTTTCGTAAGTTTCTCTTTTTTTTCGGCATCTTTATCAGTGACACCACAAATTGGTTTCCTCTCGCAACAACCTCACCCATCAGCAAAATGCGGTGATTTCGTGAGAGTCGCGCTCTCGCGGCGATATGAGGCGTCAACGAACAGAATGTGAAAAAAATAGTGCGTGAAATGTGACTATTGAACTTGTCATTGTCTCAAAAGAACATTTTTTTCTTTCATTCTTCTTTGACTCCCAAACAACGCGCGCGCGAGCAAAACAGATTCAAATCTATCGACATGATGTCTGAACGAGAGCTGCGCGGAGAGAAAGAGAAAAAAATGAATTCGCGCTGAAAAGGAATAAAAATGAGTTGGAAAAAGTGTTTCACAATCAGACACCGTAAAGGTGACTCGTTGCTCAGCGTGGGTTTAGCGGATTTTTCGGCTAGACAATTTTTTGTCGAGGCCAAAAAACAAGAGAGGGAAAGAGAGACGCTGAAGTGAGAGAGAATGATGCCATAGACGATCCCCAGTTCGGTCCACTGAGCGAAATCCTTTTGGCGATTCGAGCGCATCCAGAGAAAAAGTCTTTCTTATACACTTCACTTTCGCGCCTCTTCTGCAACCCAGTGGCCCAGAAATTGGTGTATAGGAACTTGTCGCTGCACATCGCGGCGATTAGCATACTGATGTCACATTGATTGATTGAATAATTGTGAGTAGATTGCGCAAGAAGTCCCACTGGAGAATAAGAAGTATAGAAACACATGTGGGTGTATTTTCATTGTGAGGAATGCCATTAATAATTAAATCATCAAATGGAGCTGTGTGACAAAGAAGTGAGATTGGTAATTGCATGCAAAGTGTCACAGGCTCTTTTTTTGTCTAATCACTGGAATAAACAGCTTTTTGTGAATCTTCATTAATTCAAACATATTGAATCGTTATTCAGCAGAACTGACAACAAGAATTGAAGGATTGGTAGTTGCCTTAAATATACTTCTCGGTTTTTTTCTGCAGTCAAGTGATTTTTAATCAGACTTCCTGGTACATTTTCTTCGAGTGTTAATGAGAATTCGTTCATTACATCTGTCTGCTATATTTTCAATATGAAATGATACATTTTTAACTTTGTTCACAAAACTGTCATCAACTTTCTGCACTCAATTCTACGAATTAATTAAAAAATATTTAATTAGCTTCGTATTGTATCATCTTGTAATTGAGCTCTCGGGTTTTACATTTACTTTTGACAATTTCCTGGAAAACATGCACATTTTGCCGTATGAAAAATACCACGTTTAATTAAAATGTAAGTGTATTGATACAAAGTAATCCTTTCTGTGCATTTTAGGTTTTCAGCGATATACTTTGAATTTTATGTCAATTCATTTTAATTTAAAAATAAATTACAACGTGTGAGACAAGTAATTCCAAATTAAAATCTTAATTGTCAGGCACAATTATCTCCTTCGCAAAACATGCAAATAACACAAGTAACCAGGAGATTTATATCAGAGTGATTTTCGTGCGTGATCACCTGAAAATGCATGTGTTAATTAAGCAAAATGTGCAGATCGAGAGTGAAACTGTGCATTAATGTCATAAAATTGACAATTTGCATCTAAATGAGTCACTTAAAAATAAATATAAGAATTACATTAAAACCAAGCGCAAGAGTGTAACATTGACGCACGAAATTATCAACCACGAATTTTCACAATGTTGATTTAATGCTCTTTATATTCCTTTACTGAAATTTCATTTGTGCATGTTTTCACGTATTCTGATAAATCGCATAAAAGTGATCGTTTTCTCGCTGGTTTCTTGGGCAATTTGTGCCAAATACTTCACATGTCTGGGAAGATAAATCAGTGCAATTATTCCATGTATAACGTCGAATTATCATTTATATTTTCGGGTAAAACTTTCTCATGTGCCGGTGAATTATTTATTTCTTTCACTTATTCTATTCCAACTAGCGACTCGCAATTTCAATTGCAAATAGAACCTCTTTCTAAAATCCTAATTGAATAGTCAACTAAAAACACGGAGGAAGTCTCCAAAGAAATAAATTGGGAGCAATGCCATGGAAGGAAATTCCTGATGGGAAAACGGCACAAAATTGGGCTCCCTCTTTTCCGCCTCTTTTCTCCGTCGCTCTTCTATTCTAATTTATCTGTTGAATAGCCGAATGGAATGGAGTGTAATGAAAAGTGATGTTGACCATTCGGAAGCACACGGGTGAGCATGTGTGTGTGTGTGTTGGGTGGGGTGGGGTGGGAGATAGTGAAGTAAAATTGAGTGATTATGTAAAATTCCAATTTGCATATTAATTCATTGGCTCTCGCACACACACAAGTGCGTGGCGAGTTGCGCCTGAGACCTCGAAGGCCCACATTCTGGAGCAGAGAGTGAGGCGCAATAGACACGTGCAGATCGTACGTCGCGAGTTGCTTCGTGCGCCGCAGCAACTCCCATCCCAAGATCTAGGTTCGAAGTACACAAAGGAAGGGCCGTGTGGTGCAAGTGCTTCTCGGCACCAACACACCAATCTGCCCATGGAGGAGTTTTCTTTGTGCGGCTCCTCTGCGCCCCATCGTGCGCCCGTGAAGGGACAAAGAGCGTGTGTTGGATCCCGAAGGAAGAGCGACTCTTCCCCAGCAACTCGCACTGAATTGCGCAAAACCCCCCGAAAAAAAACCGTATAGTTGTGAAATTTCGAAAGTTTTCTCCGCGCTCAGCTATATAGAAATAATAATGAAAGTTTGGAAAGAGAGATATTTTTGTCTATTTTTGGCCCGTGAGTCCCTCTCACTCGCACTCGAGCTTAAGCAACACCTCTAATTGGAATTCTCAAGGTGACCATGAGTCCATGCAAGAGCGCCGCGCAGGAGGGGAGTGGGAATAGTCAATCAAAATAAACAATCCGAACGCTCTTCTGCTCTCGCAGCACTTGAAGTAATTGCAGCGATGACATGTAGGATGGATCTCGGAGGCGTCCATTGTGTGTCCATTGCAATGGCAGAGATAATGACAGGCAATTAGGCTCGACCAATGTAGAACAGGTGCTGAAGACTCACCAGAACACTGAGGCTGAAGTGGAGCTTTTGTTGTGCTGATTGTATACAAAAGAAAGTCTCAATTTACAGACAATAATCTTCTACATAGCTCCAGATCTCTGTGTAGAAAAGAATTGTTTATTCGAAAGTACAGTTTGGGAAAAGCGATTAAAGTCACTTTGAAATGCACAAGAAATTTCAGGACACACGATAAGTTATTTATAGTTTGAAATTGTCTAACCAATACATGCTTTGTGTATACATAAGTCGCGCATTCTCCATATGTTTGTAATAAGATTTGTGTCACATCAATCACAACATATGCTTTTTGTTCATACGAGCGCCTTTATTATTAGTTACCCAATTACCCTTAAAGCCCTGATTGTAATCACAGCTTAGTTTTTACGGTGAAGCTTAACCGAAAGTCCAAATGATGTCAATTGGGAGCCTAGAATCAGGTGAAAAGATACAAGAGTTCCAAGAAGCGGACACAGAAAGCAATATTTAGATATTTCTGCATTTGTATTGGCGATAAAACAAAAAGACTTCTCAATCTGTCTTAACTTTCGAGTCAAAGTCGCGAGAATTTATGAGGTGCACAACAATAATATCTTTAAAATTACCTCCTAACAGGTTTCACCCTGGATCACTAACAATAGGCCATAACGATATGTTTCTTGTGAAAAAGTTGACCTCTCACTCTGTGGCAATAAATTTAGACGAGCTGTCCGGTTTTAATCTCCGCACACTGAGCATTTTGTATCTCCGAAATTTGGCCTTAAGCTCGTTCGATGCAGATGGAAATAAGTTGCCTGAGATTGTCTAACCTACGGATCAGAGATGCTAATCTACAACGCTAACAGTTAGGGAGAGAGAGAGAGCCATGTTTGAGGAGAGCAATTAGTTGCCTAAGCTAGACCCAGAAGCACAGAACCAGTAGCTGTGGAGAATCCCTGTAAAACGCAATTTTCGCTGAACATGGGGGGATACGCTGTGTGTGTGTCTCTCTCTCACACGATCCCCCATGCGCGCCCCACCACTGCCCTCCTCCTCGCCGGAAAGTGCGAGGAGGCCCTGATTGAGCACCGGTTACTCTGTGCTCCTCTCCTCCGGGCTGCCCAATCTGTCGGCCGCAGGCATTCCTGGAGCTCTGGACGCCCCCGTCAACGGCACTGTGGCCCCAAGAGCGCGAGCAAGACGGATGGCTGCAAAGTAGGTCACAGCGGAGTGGCGCCCTCTGCAAGTGCGAATTCCGCGGCAGTCCGCCAATCAGGACACCGAGGCGAGGGTCACGTGGTTTTGTTGTTCTATATCAGCTGTGTAGCCGGGCGCGCTTGATGGTATGCAACGGCGACAGAGAGTTACTATGCAGGCCAATTGCAACACGACCGAGCGAGACGGAAGATTGAAGCAAGCTTGCACCGACGTCGCCAGTGTTTTCAATTTTTCTGCCCACCATCGCACACACAGATGGCTGTGCGTTGTTCTGCGTAGATTCAGAAGTGGGATGAGGCGAACGCGTACTATCGCATGGCCACCATTTCACCCAACATGAAACCCCGGAAGAGTTTATAAATTCGTGATTTTCTCGTCATCTCGCTCATATTGCTTCACTCTCGGGTTGCGTGTGCAGATATGTGGAAGGGAGACGGCGCGAGGTCGAATGAATAGGAGCATTGGTTGGTTTCTAGTTGGAATATTGTGGGTAAAAATTGCCGCGAGAGGGGACATTTAATTTATAGTGTGCAACAAAATTTATGACAATCTATAGACATCCATTTGTGGCAAAAGAAGGGACAATGTATGAAATCCGGCTGAGGCAGAGATTTTTTTTTCCCAATGATAATGGTGGTCGATTGCTCGCGGTATCCTGAATAGAGGCCATTTCATTTGAATGTCGAGTGCTGATTCCGGGTAATTTAATCATCGCGCTGCGGCGGTGAATGGAGTTGCAAGAAGAGGACAAAATGGAGATTTATTGACAGAAATTTAATCAAAAGCAGTGATTCTAATATGAAAAGAATTCTTTATTGCTTCCCTGGCCTCTCTATCAATGAATTCACTTTGCAAGAATGTGTGTGCAAGCATTCTCCATCTCGCTCGCGAACAGTTAATTCCTTTGTTGTAAATGCTATCTGTAACCTGTTTCTATCTTTTTCCCATCAAGCTAGGCGTCTTGGGTGTGTTGGTGTGAACTATTTTTCCTTCAGAAATGCCTTCAAAAAATACCTCTCGACACCTTGTTCGGGGAATGGTGGTGGATCTGTGAGTCTATGAGCCTTGCAGGACCTGCCGTCCGTGTCCTAGATGTCATCACTGGTGCTGAGCAGAGAGGTAAACAGTAGGAGCTACGCAATTAGGCATACTTGTTCAGCCCTGCTGTGTAATTGTGTAATGTTGCCACACATCGTCACAGAGAAGGCCTCGCGCGTCCCCCACCACCAGCGCTCCCCCACCACTCTATTACATCACCTTCCCCTCCATCTGCTATCTCTGTCAGCTGATCAGCTGTGGCAGCGTGCGGCTGAGACAGCAGCAAAACATTGGTGTTGCCATCTCTGTCGTCCGCAAGCCGGCCGGAGACAAGGCTCGAAACGTAAAAAGTTTTGCGCTCAGTCGTTGACAGAAATTCGTGTTAAAAGGTTGTTATCAGAAAAACCGTTTACTTGAGCAACACAACAGTCACAGTGTGTGTGTGTGTGTGTAGTTGTGAGCACAGACACACCAACACGGCATATATATAAAAATATTTGTATTTCCATCCGTGCAATTGAAAGTGTCTGATGGTAGTGTTGGGCAACCAACAGCTGCGTCGCTGAGCCAGTGTAGTCTCAGCACTCAATCTCGCACTTCATTCACATCTCGACACTCGGTGTGTTCAGATCGGTGTGTTTTGTCCCGGTTTTACAGAGCAAGGCTCTCAAATAGACCCAGTATTTGGCATAGTGAATCCGTGTGAGGATTGCACAAGGACCACCAGTAATTGGGAAATTATGGTTTTTCGCATGTTTATGGCGGTTCACCGTCCACACTGTTGCGAGTATGGTGCAGGAGCTGTGACGAATCCGTGCGACTCTGTGACCAATCCACTGCTAAAGTTCACCCAATGCGAAGATATCACGCACTCTTGGAATTCGCTGCCACCAAGTGAGGTGCCCATTTGGTAGTTCTCCTCAGTTTTTCGTTCAGTGTGTCATTTCTTTTCTGTTTCGTTTCGCATTCGGCAAGGACAAGGAGTGTGTTAGGATCCCTGTGTGATCATTTAGGCGACCAGTCGCACTGCGAACAGACTCTGATAGAGAAAAAAGGCTATATAGAAGCTGCTGCTGAGGTCAGCCATATAAAGTGTGTTCACACGCAAAGTTTTATAAACTGTTCTTGGAAGTGAAATACTCTGTCAAGTATTTCGGACTGAAGTTAGATTGGCTTGTGCGGAGAATAAGTGCAAGTTTTGGTGTCTTGTGAGAAATTTCGTGTAAGATGTCCACAGGCAAGCGCCTAGCTAAGCGTTCCATAATCGGTACCCGTGTCTGTGCACCCGGCACTGACGGACTCTTTTACTCCGGTGTCATACACTCGGTGCGCACTCCTGCGAACGCCCAGGAGAACAACAATTGCATCAACTTGACGCCGAACACCAAGTACTCGGTGCGCTTTGATCAGAAGCAGGACCTCGGTCGGCGTGGACTGAATCGTGAGTTTCGGGACACTGAATTGATCGGACCGGGCTTTCAGAGTGTCATGAATGTACACTTGCGCCCAGGCCAGAAGGTCTTTCTCACCTTCAACGGACGCGAGAGTGCCGGCGAAGTGATCACACATGACAACATCAAGGACGAAGTGAACGTGAGGATTACACCGCTCGGACAAGAGGTAAAATCACACAGCAATTTTTGTCTATTTTCATCGATCACCCGCGCGCGCGATCGCGCACGGATGATCGCGCGGGTCTTCCTCAGGCGCGCGCGGCGAAGAACCGTCAAAAAACCGGCTTCGATCGCGCCCACACATTAATTTTCAAATCACATACCATTGCCCAACGCTGTGCTCTTACATAAATTACGGTGTTAGACTTGGCGATCGCACACAGGCGCATTATAGACTATCGTCAAAGTCATACTAGAGCGCCAAGGATAAACCTTTCACTCCCCTTCTCTCTTGGCTCCCAAGGGAAGTGCGCCCAATCATTCACTGCTCTGGGGATGACTGATCGATACGGAAGCCCCACAGACATGCATAATCAACTAAACGTCGAAACTGTGCCATTATTTATTTTTCGGACACACCGCTAAGTATTTCCGCAAGCGTGACCTGAATACCAAAAAATTCCTCCCCGCGATCTTCTCCATGATTCTTCACACATCGAAAGCGCAAGGTGATCGCGAGTTGCCATATGAGTCTGTGCTGTTGCTGGACTACCGTTTGGAATTATTGACACTCGTGGCCTGTTTTTCGGCTGGGATGTGGAAGAGGTGAAAAATTGCCAATTAGCTGTTGTGTCTTAAGGTGTGGGCATGTGTGAGTCGGCAAAAAGTGCCGGTTGGCTGAGCGACTCGACGGGCAAAAAGAGACTCTCAGCAATTTCCAGTGCGGAAACTTTCATTTTCTTCCAATCACCTGAAATGTATAACCGCCGAATTGGTGGAAAGCCCAAAAGAGAGACACACCGAGCACATCACAGACACTTTCTTGTGCACAAAATTTGCCATGTCAGCTCACATTTCCACGGCCATTCCCTCGACGATCGCGCGAGAGTGGCGCGCAAATGAGAGGGAATATTTGGCAAATTGAAAATGCGCCGCTCGGTTACATAAATCCATTCAATATGGGGGTCCGTTCACTAGACCCGGTGGCGGTGGGGAATTCCTCCCATTCACCGGCCGTGCGATTCCTAGAGCGCTCTCTGGCACTCAGACAATGAGCCTCTTTATGCCGTGTCGGCTTTAATATAAATGCAGCATTTATATTAAAGCTAGTCCGACATGGACTTAAAAGTCGGCTCAAACTTCGCGGTGGCGCATGCGTGTGAGCTGTCAAATTCTCATACACATCCTCACTGAACGTCATTCGTGACTGCGCGTCGCGTTGCGACATGATTCGATTTCAGTTTAAGCGCGTGTGTCCCGGTATCAACGCCATGGACTAAAATAAAGCCGAATATTGTTAAATGCTACTTTAATGATAAATTTAGCATTTAACTTGGCCCGGCATAAAGAGGCTCAATGTCCCATCCGTGACACAATTTGGCTTTTTATGGGTCTGCGAGACGCGCGCGGAGAGCGTCGAGGGTGGTGAACATATATGTTGTGCCGTTTCGCAATGCGTTACGGTGAACAGGGTGTGATGTAAAGGCATTTGATGTGCTCTGCAATTTGTGGGGCTTTGCGGAATGTGACAAAGTCTATTTCAATGCAATGAGCCATTGATTTTCTCACAAAATTTGGTAACAAAGTGAAATTAAAGCGCCATAACTTGGGTTTTATGTTTAAAATCCTATAAGATTTGACCCAATTTTGAGAAGACCTCGACCTAAACTATTGAATAAGAAAACATGGAAAAATTGTCTTGCTATTGATATGTTTTTTTGAGAATTTATTGAGCTGGAGAGCTCAGAAATACGAGAAGTGACGGCGCACCCTGTGCAGAAAATCAGAAGTTGGATGGCAACACCTCAAAGACAAACGCGCGAGGATGAAGAGTGTCGAATTAGTTGATGCCTGGAATGCATAAGTGAGGCGAAATGAGGTCATGGCATGGTGACGAGCTCCGTCGAGAGGGGCAAAATGTGCTGATATATGTATATACCTGGGCGAAATGCGACAATCCGATTCCGAGCGGTGAAGCATATTTTCTCAGTGGAATGCCGAGGAGTGAATGGAATTTGGTGGGATTACACAAAAGTGGCTCTAATTGAAATTGCGTGAGAAACTTTCACTGTTTCGGCGACCAACCAATACCATCTTTCTCTCGCTCTATTGCAAAAAAGACGGAGAGGGAGTGGAAGATATGAAGAACTTCCGCATATTTAATGGTACTTGACGCTATACCGGAGTTTCCACTGAGTGAGCGAGATGGCGCGATATGGGGAAAAGTGTGGTAGGAAAATCCATCCTATTGTCTTCTTTCCACCACCGAAGCCAAGTGCTTCGCACAGGGATGAACCTGACCCAATACCCTCCTTTGGCTCTGCACCATTTGTCCTTCATTCTCTCGCTCTCCGCCATATCCTCATGGCTGTTCAGCTCTCCAATGCGACCTCATCCGACTTTGATTAATATGATTAACACAGCGCAGAGTTGCAGCACACTTTGTGCGCTCTGTGATTAATGATGGGGGGCGCCGTTGTTAGGGAAAAGCACCCGTAAAATTTAACGATTTCCCCTGCAACAGAGGAAGGTCATGAGTGGAGAAGCCATGGTGGGATGTCATGAAAGCTCTTTTTATGTGCCGCACCTCCACATTTCTCAAGGGTGGGCAACACAACCCCCGTCCCATCTGGCGCGCCCCCACTATTTACCCAACTAACTGCTGGAAAATTTTCCTCACTTCCTCTCTCTCTCTCGCTCTCTCGCTATCGATGTGTGTGCTGTGCTCCAAATCGAAAAATCCAACAATATTCTCTAATACTGCGTCGCAGAGAGAATCACCTTCGGAGTGCGCGGCAAATTTGAAAAGAAATCATTTGATTAACCCTTTTTTGCAAGTCGCCTTCTGATCTCTATCTTTGAAACTTTCTCTCCATGCTGTTCTCCATCTCTAAATGTTTCTCTCACTCTGTGTTTTTTTTTGTTGATAATTGCATAACTGGGCGATAAATATCCGAATTCAAAAAAGGTGAAAATAAGTTTGAAAACTAAATGAGAGATCCAAAAATAGACTAATTTATTTCAGATGGTGTTTAGTGGAGATATACGAATGCTTAAAATTGGAAAGTTTTGACCAAATGGGAAGATTTATGGAGGATGCGAGGCTATTTCGGAGATATGGTCATGCTCAAGAATGAGTCCAAAGGTTGATGCTTTTGAATGTTATGGCGCTGATACTGGGGGAAGTCCCAAAATCAGAGGCATTATCGATGCAAAAGCGTAACGGGTTTCGGCATAAATCTTGATGATTCGCCCCGAAAGTCTTGTCAATAGTGTAATTTTCGGGAGATTGTTTACACAAAAGATACTTTGGAAAGAAAAAAAAATAATTCGCTGAAACGTGACTTTTACTGAGAATTTTATTATGCTTTTGAGTTTCAGAGGAGACACAATCTTATCTTCAATTCTTGCTTATCTTAATTGTTGTGCAGCTTTAAGTTGTAAATTTCCGTATTACGATAAATAGACAAATTTATTTACCCGTAATTTTTTTCATTGAAAATTCAGCAAAAGTTCGATCATTTCACCCGCCATATTTGCTCTGTGTTGAGAGATGGAGTGGAAGAAAGAAAGAAAATTCCCGATCAATGAGACAATCGCTGGCCAGATACTGACCCAGAATCCCGCCAGACACTCGCCATGAGCGGATCCTCTTGACTCCTCCTCGCCTCACACCCAAATAACAAGCTCATGAGGTCATGTGATGCGTTCTCTCGGTTTTTACATCACAACACTTGCCGTGATGGCAGATACTACGCAAAAATGGACGCGCAAGCGCTTCCCCACCTCCTCTCGCGTGTGAGGTTGCCTTGAGAAAAGCTCCCCGGAAAGCTTAGAGTTGCGTAGTGTTGTCGCGACACAAGTGAGTAACTTTGTTGGTGCCTCTGGCTCCAAAATATACGCCACACCACGACACTCTGGCGCGTAAAATGCGTATCGGATTTGGGCGGGTGGCCGGCGGGGGCCAAAGGGGCGGACGGGGGGCGCATGTGTACTCCTATGGGGCTTTTTCATCAACACACACATCGTGTGGATCGTTAGCCCCGCTGCGAGCGCAAAAAAAATATCGAGATTCCCAAGCAGGCACGCATTTTTGGGGCTACACGGGCCGGAGTGGTGACGACACGACCTCAATTGCGAAGGCGTATTTGAGTGTTTGTGTGGGGGGATTTTCCGATTGGCAAGTGTGCTTTTTTGTTGTTGGCGACAAAGCGGAAATGGACCTCTTTGGCCACTTCTTGCCAACACAACCCAGAGATGCTAATGCGATGGACTAACAGTTGGAACGGCACGTTTTCGCGCCTTTTTCTTGTCACTGAGCGCCCAGATTCACTTGTTTTCCTCGCCTTACTTTGCATATTTTCTCACCTCTCGAAACGGCGCGCGCGATTCACCTGTTAGGGAGGGTAGAGTGAGAGAGGGAGACAGAGAGGTGCACTGAAGAAGTAAATGGATACAGTTCCGCCTTATGAGGTTTTAACCTAAAAACAGAATAAGACCACTTGATCAACGGTACTTTAAAATGTGCTACGCTACGCTGTGCTGTTGTACATGTGTGAGAAGAGATTTTTATTCTTATGGCTCCAGCCGCGCTGAGACGAAGAAAAGAGAGTCCCAAGGCGCGCGGAAGAGGTGAAAAATGGGAGGGCGGCAGAAAATCCCAATGAGAGTCATTTTCCCTTCGCGGTTTGCAACAATGGAGGTGAAAACGTTTAACCGGTGAATTTGGGATGCGATGATAAACAACAATTGAAGTGGTGTGTGAGCCGGCAACATTGGCGCAGATCGCGGAATTCCCCTCGTTTTCGAATCACAACATCGCGCGCGCGAGAAAAAAGAGCCATAGAGAGGAGGGAAAAACAAGCAAAATGAGAGAAGGAAAGAAAAAAAAGAACACACGCACTCAAATACACAGTAAATTGTAAGTTGTTATGATGTCTTTATAATTTCATAAATCATTTTCCCGCTAAAAAGATAATTATACAATGAAGCCGGGCAATGATTGTG